CATGGCAGCAGTGTCATGCCTGTCTGCCATAGGAATAAAGTTCTTTAGTAGGCTGGGACTTGGACGCCCTACTTGAAGGAGTCAAAATGGGAATCACTGAAATGGTACTTCTGTTCTGAAAATAAGAAAACCAGTCCTTGAAACACCACATATCACTTTCCTGCAAACATAACCAGAGAGGGAAAATATATCTATAACAATACTCATCATGTCACAAATTTCACATCCACATTACGTTGGACATCACATACCAACTACAAACTGTACTCCACCGAATTTCTATTGAAATTGTACCACCTGGTTTGATTTCATAACCTGCACTCATATTAATAATTATTTATGAAAATGTTCCAAGAAATAAAAAATTAAGTCCATACATAAAAAAATATGCTTCCCTTACAAGAACTATATACAGAAAGCTGATTAAAGTTGCCTAACCAATAAGCTGACAAACAGAAACCTGGAAACACGTTAAATGATAAGTAACACTGCCTATGTTCCCTGCCATCACCTGCAAGCCCTTTCCCAATTCAAAAAGCACCATTACCAAAATTATTAAATCTTTAAAGAAACACTTCTTTTACATCCGGAAGATGCACTACTGTTCACAAGAACCCACAACTTCCAGTAATTCAAATTAAATGAACTTTTGAATAACATAGCATTACAATAACTGGTTTATATAAATCACTAAGTATACCACAGATAATAAATGCAGATGGGTAATTCAGTTAAATGTTGCAATGCGTGTGACGGTTGACGATAAAAACGAGTTGGCCGTAACTGCAGTCTGATTGAAATTGACCGACAAGGATGCAACTTAACAATCATATGGCCCCTGCTTTTCATAATATATATATATTCATCACCTCCCTTCAACAATAAACACCTTATCAGATCCCATAAAACTTGCTGATGACACTAGTGCGATAATTCCTAGTAAACATTTTGATGACTTCTGTGCAAGATCAGTTCTCCGCCATTTTAAACAAGGAACATTTTTCGCCCCACCTCCGTAAAGTCCACATAATTGCAATATTTCTGTGAATAACTGTGTTATAAACTCACTTTGGTTATGTACATATTTTTCTTTGATAATAATATTACATATTTATAAATTGAAAGCATATAAATTTCTTTCTTGTGTAATTATTTGTTCGGGAATACTTTAGTTGATTTCAAATTACTATTATGTTTATATTCATGGTTTGAGCGTATGAAGGATCTCTGGAATGTAAATAAATTCTGCTTTATTCTGTTCTGAATTAAATTTAACCTAACATTTGTATAAATACTAATTTGTATTATGTACAATATACTTTTCCAATCTAATGTAATTGGTTAACAAAGAAGGTTGCAGTAAACAGGTTGCATTGCATGCATAAACGAAGACATTTAGGTTAGAATACCTCAAGAGAAGAGATAACATGAGATTCGAAAATGGATAATAAACTCTGTATTCACCAGGCTTAAGATAGTGGCCAGTGAGAAGCCTGCTTAGTGCTGGTGATCTGTCTTTGGGTTTCATTTCATCA